TTTTGAAAATGAGTCTGAGTCTGTCGCCCAGGCTGGAGTGTAGTGGCGCAATCTCGGCTCACTGCAACCTCTGCCTCCCGGGTTCAAGCGATCCTACTACCTCAGCCTCCCGATTAGCTGGGACTAAAGGCACGCGCCACCACATCCGGCTAATTTTTGCATTTTTAGTATAGACGGGGTTTACACCATGTTTCCCAGACTGGTCTCAAACCCCTTGGCCTCCGAAAGTGCTGGGATTACAGGGGTGAGTAACCGCGCTCGGCCAGAATTTGTCCTTATTATTATGCATGCCTGTGTATACAGTATCTTTATAGGTCAAAAGCAGTCAAATATTGGCCATTAGCTATACTTAGTCCAAGTACACAAAATAATTGCAGGACAAAGTGAAACGCTCCTTACTTCGTTTCCCACCCATTTATCACAAAGCACACAGAAGTCAGAATAACACCTGCCCTTTGCAATTTCAGACTCCTTTTTCTCCAAACCCGTCCCACATTTGGGATACCTTCCCTTCAACCTCCCCAATCACATCGCAGGTTCTTGGTCTACACCCTTTTTGCCTCCCCAACCAGCTTGGAATCTTACAACCCCTGGTCCCATAACCTCTCTGCACTAAGGAGCACCAAACAAAATTCACGCCAGAACAGTGGCCAAAACAGCAACCCGGGATATTTGCGCCTACGCATTCTGGGTGCACAGTACTCCCAGAAGTCTCCGGCCGGCGGCCCAGCGCTGGCTAATATGTGAGAGCAATTAAGATGACTTTCCAAGGGTCCAACCGCCTTCCCAGCTCCGAACTACATCTCCCAGAAGGCTCAGCGGTGCTGTTAGCTTCCCATGCTGACCTGTCGTCTTTCTGAGGCTGTCCAGCGCCTGGGGACAATAGGACGGGTCCAGGAGCTAAGCCCATCTCAAACACGTCGGAGTGGCTTTCTTTGGGGGCCAGGGTCTGAGCCTGAGGCGGGGATCCATGAGGACTCTGGGGCGTCCGCCGTTAGACGAGGGGCGCGATCCTTTCGGCGGGGCTGACGCTAGGCGCGGTCAGGTATCCTGACGATCGGGAGCCATCTTGTCCGGGCCTGATACGTCTCTGACTACATCTCCCAGAGGACTCCTCGGTATGACTGTGCTTCTCGCGGGTATTCAGTCTCCAAGTCACGCGCTGGCGGGACCCCCAGGACTTCACCAACAACTACCCTAGTGCCACGGAGGGCTCTGCTGCTTCGGGAGCTCATAAGGCCTAAGGTGAGGAACCTGGGAGAGGGCGGGGCAGGGGGCCGAGCCTGGGCCTTGTGCGTCGATGGAGGTGAGGTTGAGTGTGCGCTTGCGTCTCTGTGGAGGTGTGTGGTGAATGATCGCGCGATTGTGACAGGCTGCTCTTGTGATGAGTGTTTCCAACGCTCACACCGTGTGCAGCACGGCCTCGGAGACTGGCTGCTGGGGTGTGTGAGAAGGAGCAGGACCACGTGCGGCATTGTGTGCGCGGCTGTGGGGAGCTTGTGGCTGCTCGAGTCCGCGTTTGTCCTGGTAGTGGGGTGGGACTGTGTGGCTGTGTGACTGTGTGCGGCAGAGTTCAGGTGGGGATACCTGCGAGTAACTGCATGTTTCTATCTGTGTGTGTAGCTGTGGTTAGTGGGTGATCGTGACTGTGACCGGGTACAGGTGTGCGCCGACTGACAGTGTGGTTGTGACTGTGAATGTCTCCTCGGTAAGTGTGCACTTGTGCTTGTGTGATCGATAGGGGCCCTGCGTGTGCGATCCTGTTGCTTTGGGTGTGGATTGTCTGTAGTTGAACGTCCCCATGGTGGGGATGTGATCAGGTTTGTGTGGCTGAATAAGTCACACAATGTGAGGTTTTATCACTTATGTATACTTCTTGAGGCTTTATACTCCAGTTTTTCCCCGTTTTAAAACTTTATATGAATGTTGTCATACTGTCTCCGGTTTATTTTTACAATTCTGTGAATCATCCCTATTAGATGAAATAGCAGTTCATTCAATTTTTTTGCTACATTGTATTCTCGCTTTTGAAGTATACCACAATTATTCATCCTTTCTAATAATGATGGACGTATTAGTTATTTATAGTTTTTTTTTATTTTATAAACAACACAGCCACAAACATTCTTTCACATGGGGTACACATGCTTGAGTTTATTTACTAGCAGAATTGCTGGTCCATATGATATCTTCCACTTTACTAAACAGTGTCAAAATAGCTACCAGAGTAGGAGGACAAATTTGTACTTGAACAGCAATGTTTGAAATATTTTATTGCTCCATATCCCTACCAAAACATAGTTCCAAGAGTTAAAAAGATTTTTTTAGGCCAGGTGTGGGGCTCATGTGTGTAATCCTAGCACTTTGCCAGGCCAAGGCTGGAGGATTGCTCGAGGCCGGGAGTTGGAGACTAGCCTGGGCAACATAGTGAGACCCTGATTCTACTATAAATAAATACATACATAATAAAAAAAATTAGCCAAGCATGGTGGCTGGCACCTATAAGTTCTAGCTACTTAGGAGGTTGAGATACAAGGATTGCTTGAGCCCAGTAGTTTGCAGCTGCAGTAAGCTGTGATCACACCACTGCCCTCCAGCCTGGGCAACAAAGCAGGAGGCTGTTGATACATAGAGCCTATATAAAATTTGCAAATCTTAAGTGTACAGCTGTATAACACTCCTAGTTGTATATAAAGAACTTTGCCACCAAGACCTGAGATGGTTTCCTCATGCCCCTTCTCAGTTGTTTCTCCCCCACAATCTATTCAGAATTCTATCATCATTAACTAGTTTTACCCATTCTTTTTTTTTTTTTTTTTTTTTTTTTTTTTTTAAGACAGAATCTCTCTCTTGTTGCCCAGGCTGGAGTGTAATGATGCAATCTTGTTTCACTGCAACCTCCGCCTCTCAGGTTCAGATTCTCCTGCCTCAGCCTCCCGAGTAGCTGGGATTATAGGCACCAGCCACCATGCCTGGCTAATTTTTGTATTTTTAATAGAAACTGGGTTTCACCAGGTTGGTCAGCCTGGTCTTGAACTCCTGACTTCAGGTGATCCATCCGTTTCGGCCTCCCAAAGTGCTGGAATTACAGGCGTGAGCTAGTGTGTCCAGCTGTTTTACACATTCTTGAACTTTATGTATACATGGAATTATACAGCATGTACTGTTTTATGCCTGGCTTCTTTTGTTCTACATTATGTTTGTGAAATTCATTCATGTTGTTCAGTGTAATTATACTTAGTTCTCATTACATTGGGGATATATTGCAGTATATTAGTTAATTACATTGTTGATAGATATTTGGGTAGTTTCCAGATTGGGGCTGTTAAAAATGCTGCTGCTGCTGTGAACACTCTACCATGTTTTTGGTGAACACATGAAGGCCTTTGTCCAGGGTTAACACTTAGGAGTGTGGCATTGCTAGATCATAGAGTAGGCTAATGTTTAATAGACCAAGTTTTCATGTGGTTGTTCCAGTTTACCCTCCATCCAGCAATGTATGAAATTTTCAGTTGCTTCATAGCCTCAAATCCTCTTCATAATTTGGTAGGTAGTTTTTTAACTATTTTATTGGTTGTGTGGTGCAATGTCATCATATTTTTTTTTTTCCTTTTGAGACAGAGTCTTGCTCTTTCGCCCAGGCAGTGCAGTGGTGGGATCTCAGCTCACTGCAACCTCTGCCTCCCAGGTTCAAGTGATTCTCCTGCCTCAGCCTCCCAAGTAGCTGGGATTACAGGAAGGTGCTACCACGCCTGGCTAATTTTTGTATTTTTAGTAGAGAGAGTTTAACCATGATGGCCAGGCTAGTCTCAAGCTCCTGACCTCAAGACATCCACCCGCCTCAGCCCCCAAAGTGCTGGGATTACAGGTGCCAGGCCAAGATCATGTTGTTTAATTCACTTGCTAATTATAAGAATTTGTTGATTATTTAGGATTTTCTGTGTCTGCAACTTATCATCTGTGAATAACGATAGTTTTCTTTCTTTCCTTTCAATCTTTATACCTTTTATTTCTTCATCATGCCCTATTGTACTGGCCAAGCCAGTACATTGTTAAAAAGAAAGATGAAAATACACATTATTTTTTTTTCCTGAATTCAGTGGGCAATTTTTCAGTGTTTCAACATTAGGTGTAATATTAACTCTTGGATTTGATTTTTTTTCATACATACAAGCTAATACATTAGCCTGTTAGTTTCATGAACGTTGGCAGAAAACATGAGACTCCAGGATCAGAGACAAATACTTTATTACTCATGGCACAGCAAGCAGCATAGGCATCAGCTTTCATCAGTTCCTCTTTTTCTCAGCTGCCATGGGGACAGCATGATGGTCTACATGGATGCTATTCATGCAGTACGTGTCCATAGCCACTGAGGAACACTGAGCCTGGATAATCCATTGCTTTTATAGTCCACAGTAAGCAAGCCTACTGTTTGTGCTGTTATCTCATCTCTCAAGGTTATCAGCTGCATAAATAACCCTGGGAAATGGCCCAGTTAAATAGTAGTTAGAGACTTGCATTCTAGGCATACCCAGCAAGACATGTAAGAGTGTAAGAGACCTACAGTGACTGTCTTTCCTAACAGTAGGTATTTTGTAGATGCTGCTCATTGAGTTGAGGAAGTTTTCTTTCTTATTGCATAAGCCTTTTTTTTTTTTTTTTACATTAATGAGGGCTGAATTTAAAAGAGAGGGGCAGATCTTCCGATGCAAAAATTCAGCCTAGATGGCTGCCCTCCAGGACAAAGAGGAGGAGTGTTGAGAATGCAACAAGCATGGTATGGAGATGTTGAAGTGGGAATGTTTTATGCCATTCTGCTTGGAAGGTACAGCATTTGAAAACATCCCTTTAACCAGAGGAAGGCCAGGAGGAGAGACCAGAAAGATGGGCTCAAAATGAGGAATACAGGAGAAGGAACTCTGTTTCCAGATCTTTCTGGATTATTTTTGACTCTTTAGTATCTAGTACAATGCCTGGCCATTGTATATCATAGGCTATTTGGTTGATAAAAGAATATTAAGAGCTTAATATGTAATAGTAATAATAATATCAAAAGATGCATTCAGATTTTAAGGAAGAGACACTTAGATTACTTTGGTTTTCATCTGGGGAAATGCGGTGAGTGCTTACAGGTAGAGGAAGCCATTAGATAATTGATAACATGGTGCTACTTTCTGGGTGGTTAGTTTTACATGAAATAATTGATGAATTGTTTAATGAACAAAAAGCTTGGTGCATAGAGAAAAATATTCACTGCTGTTTATAGTTTGTATAAGTTTAAGTTTATCAAATTCTTGTATATAATAAGCAAAACACCAAAATTTTCTTTTTTGAAAAAAAAGACGGGGTTTCACCATGTTGGTCAGGCTGGTCTTCAACTCCCAACCTCAGGTGATCCGCCTGCCTTGGCCTCCAAAGTGCTTGGATTACAGGCGTGAGCCACCACGCCGGGCCATCAAAATTTTCTTAAACATTGAAACATTGATCACTAATTCAGTTCTTCCCCTTAAACAATTTAGTCTTCTTTTAGTATTTTAGTATAACTTATTCTTTTGGGCACTTTACCATCTTAAAGTGAAGATGTTTATAAAAATTACACACAAGACTGAGTGTAGTGACTCATACCTGTAATCCCAGCACTTTGGGAAGACAAGGCGGGTGGATCACCTGAGGTCAGGAGTTTCAGACCAGACTGGCCAACATGGTGAAACCCCATCTCTACTAAAAACACAAAAATTAGCTGGGTGTGGTGGCAGGCACCTACAGTCCCAGCTACTTGGACGCAGAGGCAGGAGAATAGCTAGAACCTGGAAGGCAGAGGTTGCAGTGAGCCAAGATCGCGCCATTGCACTCCAGGCTGGGTGATAGAGCAAGACTCCGTCTCAAAAAGAAAAAAAAAGAATATACACAATTGGCCAGGTGGTGGAGGGGCTCATACCTGTAATCCCAGGACCCTGGGAGGGCAAAGCAGGCAGACCACTTCAGGCCAGGAGTTGGAGACCAGCCTGGCCAACATGGTGAAACCCCGTCTCTGCTACAAATACGAAAGTTAGCCAGGTGTGGTGGCACACACCTGTAATCTCAACTACTCGCGAGGCTGAGACAGAAGAATCACAGGAACCTGGGAGGGGGAGGTGGAGGTGGCGGTGAGCAGAGATTGCACGGCTGCACTCCAGCCTGGGTGACAGAGTGAGATTCTGTCTCAAAAAAAGAGTACACACAATTGTTATAAGTTGTATTACTACACTTACACTTAGAAGCTATTCTAAAACATTAGTGATGTGAGTTTAGTCTATTTGTACATCATTTTATACTTTTAAATTCCTTCCTATTGTTACTATTATTAATTTTAGAATCTTCCTAAGGTTTCAGTAGTATTTTTTATTTTCTGGGTTTCAGTTATCTTAAGTGAAGACCCATTGACCCCAAAAGTCTTCTCAAACTAAGCAAGCAAGTTGTTTTTGCTTAGCACTTGCAACCCAATTATACAATCCAAGCCCACTGAATACTGGTTTAGCCCAGGCATATCCATATTTCAGATGTATATAATCTTTGAACAATTATAATTTTAGGAATTAATTGTTAAGAATTCATATACAGGTAAAATGACATATGCACAAGGATATTTATTGCAGCATTGTTTATTACAGTGAAAAACTAGATAAAGCTCAAATGATGATTGGCCACAGATTGGTTAAATAAATTAAGTTATATCCATTTAATGGACTACAGTGTCGCTATTAAGCCAGTTACGTAGCACAATATGTACTAATTGGGACCTCATTCCAGGATATATTAAGTAAAAATAGCAATGTATGTAAGAAGCGTGTATAACATAATTTGAGTTAAAAGAAAATCTTTATATGTGTGCGTGTGTGTATACAAACATGTTTTCTCCTAGCCATATGGAGTTTGCCCTAATCCATCCTGCTCCAGTTATTGCCTGGTATCTTTGAACCTAGGGACGATAAAGAGATTTGCCCATTCTCCTCATTGACACCCCATAAGTGTTTCTAAAGCATGAACAGAGGGGAAATGATCTTCTGGGCCGGGAGCTGTGAGGAAAGTAGGGTCTTATCTATCTTCTTTTGCCTCTTCCAGCTCTACCCTTTTCAAAAGAAGAACCAAGAGAAGGTCCTTTTCTGCAAATATCAAAGCCATGGCTCAGGTGAGATACTGTTTCCTTTTGCTCAGATAGGGTGATTTTTACCTCTGGTATCTGTAAACATTTGCTTTCCTCATTATGATGCTTTTTGATGTTAGAAAGAAAAACACCTTTCAAAAGGTTTGGTTATAAGCAATGCCAGAATTTTGCTGTAAAGGAAAGGATCTCTAACAGGCCAATTCTTAGAAAAGAAAGAACTGATTAGATAATCATTGTTAGAAAATTTACCTTTTTTTTTCCTTTTCTTTCCTTTTTTTTAAGATGGAGTCTCTGTCTTCCAGGCTGGAGTGCAGTGGTTCGATCTTAGCTCACTGCAACCTCTGCCTCCTGGGTTCAAGCAATTCTCCTGCCTCAGCCTTCTGAGTAGCTGGTATTACAGGTGTATGCCACCACACCCAGCTAATTTTTGTATTTTTAGTAGAGAAGGGGTTTTGCCATGTTGTCTAGGCTGGTGTTGAACTCCTGACCTCAAGTGATCTGCCCACCTCAGCCTCCCAAAGTGCTGGGATTACACTTTGGGATTACACACGTGGTGGCATGAGCCACCAAGCCCAGCCAAAAATTTATATTCTTAACTCACAGTTAATTATTAGTCAGCCAAGTGGTTGAATAACAAATTTCTCTGAAGAAGTTTTAATTAGATTAATGTCCATCAGAAACTCACCTATCAATTTCATCAAGAATACTTACTTCTAGGCCAGGCATGGTGGCTCAGGCCTGTAATCCTAGCACTTTGGGAGGCCAAGGTGGGTGGATCACCTGAGGTCAGGAGTTCAAAACCAGCCTGGCCATCATGGTGAAACCCCATCTTTAAAAAAAAAGAATACTTAACTTCTTTCCATAAAAAGATTAAGAATTATGTCAGTAATAATGGTCTGACTCAGATCAGGTTGGGGATAATTTTTTTACGCTGTTTTCCAGGGTCCTCTTTCAGGAATAGGACATGCATTTCTTCCTAAACAACTGGTCTCCTCTCCAGTTCCCCCTGCCTTTTTTTTTTTTGAGATAGAGTCTCACTCTGTTGCCCAGGCTGGAGTGCAGTGGGAATCTCGGCTCACTGCAACCTCTGCCTCCCGAGTTCATGCAATTCTCATGCCTCAGCCTCCCAAGTAGCTGGGATTACAGGCACGCACCACCATGCCCAGCTAATGTTTTTTTTAGTAAAGATGGGTTTTCACCATATTGGCTAAGATGGTCTCGGTCTCTTAACCTCATGATCCACCTGCCTTGGCCTCCCAAAGTGCTGGCATTACAGGTGTGAGCCACCATGCCCAGCTACCCTGCCCCACCCCACTTTTAGACAATGTTTACATACTCATTTACAAAGTCCTTGAGCATCTCCTATCTCAGACTTTTACCAGAAATCCTGATAGTATTGAAATGTGTTCCCCACGTTGAATTAATGAATCTAACTTGCTTAGACAGTGATTTGATGGGAAGAAAATAAGAAATTAGGGGCAACCCATAGGAAAAAGCCCTGATTAGCTCCATAGACCTGGGTTTTGCAATAGGAAAACACGTGCTGTGGTTTTGTTTGATTTCAGTCTTAGTACATGGCATGTTCTCCTGGTTAATGAGCCTTTTATGTCTGAAAGTGTGACTAGTGGTTGGTACAAAGCTCTGATACCTCACTAAGCATCCATGAAAAATTGAAATCAGTGGCCGAATGTGGTGATGCACACCTGTAATTCCAGCATTTTGGGAGGCTAGGTTAGTGGTTTGCTTGAATCCCGGCAGCCAGCTTGGGCAACATGGCAAAACCCTGTCTCTAAAAAAAATACAAAAATCAGCCAGGCATGATAGTGCATGCCTGTAGTCCCAGCTACTCAGGAGGCTGAGGTGGAAGGATCACTTGCTCCCAGGAAGTGATGGTTGCAGTGAGATGTGATCATACCACTGCACTTCAGCCTGGGTGACAAAGGAAGACCCTGTTTAAAAACAAAAACAATAATGTCAGTAATGTCAACAGTGAAACTGAATCGTCCTTCACCAGTTTTCTGTCACTTAGTTATAAGGGGAATTTACTACTGGGCAGTAGGTGGCTATAAATAAGGTTGGGCCAGTGTTGGGGAGGTCTTTAAAGATCACCTCCAGCCTGAATATTAAAGGCAAAAGAATAGATGTCTTTTATAGCCTTATAATAGAATATTATTCAGTGAGAAACATATGCTTATGAATAGCATTTGTTGTAACAAGGAACATTTCTTATTATATAAGAGTCTGGCATAGGAATGAGTCAGAGTCTTAAAGTATATGCAAATATAATTTTCTAAGGTACAATATTTTAAAAAGTAATTTTATACATGTCTACAAGGGAAGTAGTTCAGTTCTGGTTTTGCCCCATCACCAGTCCCACTCCAAGAGGCCACTGCCCTCAACTCTTGAAAACTGGTTAATTACCGTTTTTTGATAAACTCACTTTAGTCGTTATCTCTTGATTGACTGCAAAGTTAAAAGGAACATTGTATTCCCATACCGGAATAACCATCATTTTTCCTGATGGTTATCATATCACCATTTTTGGTTAAATCGATAGTATACACCTTATTATGGCTGCAAATATTATTCTCTGCCAAGCAAGCTCATGGCTTTGTTCTGCACAACCCTTCATTTTCCTGGGGTTAACTGCTTTCTCCCCCATTTGCTTAGTAATTTCTGTGTTTATATCCAGAATCTCCAGCATCACTGCCAATTAATATGTTTCCTTTTGGTCAGACACATAGTTCCTTTTGATGTAGAGACATGCTTCCCCATTTCATGTTTCTTTGTTCCCATCTGGTCTAGTTTCCTCTCTAGGCCGGCTGCACAGCTTTCCTGAGACTTTACCTCCGGAATCCTGTGTTGTCTTCTTTTTTTGTTTACTCCCTTGTTTTTGTGGAGCACATTCTCTAGAAGTTTCCGAAGAAACTGTTGAGTCCTTGGATGTCTACAAATGTCTTTTCTCAACACTCAAAACAGAATGATAGTTTGGTTATGAAAGCCTAGGTCAGCGTTTATTTTCTCCATCAGAATATTGAAGAATTGTTCTTACCATTTCTCACTTTTAGAGGTGTTCTTGAGAATTCCATTGCCCTTCTAATTTTTGATGCCTTTTTTATGACCTGCTCTTCTCTTTGGAGGCTTTTAATGTCTTGCCTTTATCCCTTATTCTGAAATTTGACTCTCAGCTATTTGGGAAAAGAGGGGCAGAAAGAAGATCACACGTATCGTTGATTTATTATATGACAGGTATAGTGTGAGGCATTGCATATACAATTTCATTTAATTGGGAAAGCCCTCTTAGCTGAATTTTTGTATGTTCCCAATCTTGTTTGAGTAATGGAGGTATCCTACCATATTCAGGCAGTTTCATTTGGAGGAAACAGAATGACACGGGAATACAGTGATTCAGTTGTGCTTATTTGTTTACAATCCTCCACTGCGTCCCAGACATCCATATGCTCAGTATATTTTACTTCCTCTACCTTAATCTTTTTCGTCTGTCTTTCCTTCACAAAGAATACTTTTTTTGATTAATTAGGTCATATAAATGGTTATTGTTCCAGGAGTCAGTGATGTTCAGTGATGTGTCCATAGACTTCTCTCAGGAGGAGTGGGAATGCCTGAATGATGATCAGAGAGATTTATACAGAGATGTGATGCTGGAGAATTACAGCAACCTGGTTTCAATGGGTAAGGACATCTGTCCATAGTAATTTAGACATAGTAATTGGAAGGTCTACTTCCTCCAATGTGAAACGCTCACCTGCCTTTTCAAAACCAGTTGAATTTCAACATCCTGTTCTCACAGGAATGTTCTGAATATTGCAGAGTTGGAAAAAGGAAGCTGCATTGAGTTTTGGGGGATGTTTTACATCTTCTGTTCATAAGTCCGCTGTACCTTTCTTTGACTCTCCTCATATCATGTCCGTCTTTATAATGAAGGGAGAGGATTTGAATTCTAGGATATTCTCATGATAAATTTGTTTTGTTACTTCTTTTGTAAGCAGGGCATTCTATTTCTAAACCAAATGTGATCTCCTACTTGGAGCAAGGGAAGGAGCCCTGGTTGGTTGACAGAGAGATAACAAGCGGCCAGTGGCCAGGTAAGTGAGGCACAGCAGGTAATGCCCAATTTGGCCAGTAGAGAGACTGCATCTTTTAGATGCTATCTGGGAAACTCCCCTCAAAGGCTTTTGGCCTGTTGTGCAAATGTGAGACCTTTTCTCCATGAGCTTTCAAATGATCTTACCTTTCCCCCTTACCTAACACATTTTGCCTGCTTTTCTCTTCTTCTTTTTTTTTTGAGATAGAGTCTCACTTTGTCACCCAGGCTAGAGTGCAGTGGTGCAATCTTGGCGCACTGCAACCTCCGCCTCCCAGGTTCAAGCAATTCTCCTGCCTCAGCCTCCTGAGTGGCTGGGATTACAGGCAGGCGCTACCACACCTGGCTAATTTTTAGTAGAGACAGGATTTCACTATGTTGGCCAGGCTGGTCTTGAACTCCTGATCTCATGTTCTGCCTGCCTCAGCCTCCCAAAGTGCTGGGATTACAGGCATGAGCCACTGTACCCAGCCACTTTTCTCCTCTTATTCTTCCCTCTCAGTTCTAACCAGCGGGTGCCCTCCTCCACACTCTCTAGTGATATTCCTTTCTATCCATATTTTGGATCCATTTCCTTCCTAGCTTCTCATCCTCCTTTGTATTTAGTCTAATAAAAGCATCACTGTCTCCAGAAATAGATTTTTTCCTACATTGCCAAAGACTTATTTTCTTTTACTAAGATTTTTGGAATAGGGGTTTATGCCCTCATTTATTCATTCATATATTTTTTTACCAACATTTACTGATTTTTTCTAACATGTATGAGGCACTCAGCTAGTTGCTGCAGAGTTTAAAAAAGGAATAACAATTTCAGAACTTACTGCCTAGAAGTACTAGAACGTGTCTGCAAATAACTTCTTCAAAGTAGAACAACCCTAGTGAAGTTAAAATAGGGAGCTTAGCAGAAAGTGAGGGCTAACAAAGTAGAAGAGGGGTTGATCCACATAGAAGTCATAGGGGAAGATTTGGGCATGAGCATCGTTGACTTTAGATAGTGTTGGAAATAAAGGGCGTGTGTCTCCATGGAAAACTCAGAAGTTGCAAAGAGAGATTTGGTCTGAAGGAGGAGGAACAGGACAGCACATTCATTCATTTAGTTTTATGTTTCTGGAGTGCCTATGGTATGCCCAGCACTATTCTCAACACTGAGGTTACAGTAATGACTAGAACACATGTGATCAGGCATGGTGGCTCATGCCTATAATCCCAGCACTTTGGGAGGCTGAGGCGGGTGGATCGCCTGAGGTCAGGAGTTCAAGACCAGCTTGGCCAACATGATGAAACTCCATCTCTATCAAAAATACAAAAATCAGTCAGTGTGGTGGCATGGGCCTGTAGTCCCAGCTACTCAGGAGGCTGAGGCAGGAGAATCACTTGAACCCGGGAGGCAGAGGTTGCGCTGGGCTGAGATCACGCCACTGCACTCTAGGCTGAGCGACAGAGACTCCATCTCAAAAAAAGAAAAAAAAAGATAGCTGGGCATGGTGGTGCGTGCCTGTAATCCCAGCTACTCAGGAGGCTGAGGCAGAAGAATTGCCTGAACCCAGGAGGCAGAGGTTGCGGTGAGCCGAGATTG